GAGAGGGAGTAATTTATTCAATATCTTTGTTAACTTCCAAACATTTCAAAAGTATCATGCATAATTTGATTATACATGTAAAGGTATCATTTAAAGATATAGATCTCAAAGTTCCAGGAGCAGAAGGAGAATTAAGGGGGAAATTACTTTCTCTTTCCCCTAATTTTCCCTAAATTTTCAGGGAAAATTTTTGGAAAAAAGTCTCTGCTCATTTTGCAGTCTTCTCTTGCCAGCAAATAATAAGTCTGTACGTATCATGCATAATTTGATTATACATGTAAAGGTATCATTTAAAGATATAGATCTCAAAGTTCCAGGAGCAGAAGGAGAATTAAGGGGGAAATTACTTTCTCTTTCCCCTAATTTTCCCTAAATTTTCAGGGAAAATTTTTGGAAAAAAGTCTCTGCTCATTTTGCAGTCTTCTCTTGCCAGCAAATAATAAGTCTGTACAATGCAGTTACCAAGGCGACATCAAGATCATGTAGACGGAAAGTGTGGTGTACAGGCAGGGAGGTGATGTAAATGGATTAACAATGTGAACAAGAGGAGTTTTTTTTAATTGGAAAAAAAATAAATTTATACTACTCTTTATAAGTGGTTATGCTAGCCATTCTAGCATCTGTTATTACAAAGGAACCCCATTATAATAAGGCTTTTATTTTTTTATATTGCCTTGTTCATGGATACATGATTTGTCTCCTAGTTATGCCCCTATCTTTGTAACTCTGTACTGAGCCATGTCAAAATTGGTTCCACTGCATTTAAGTTAGACAAAGAAATTTTTCATTTGCTAAAGCCAGGAAAATTTTTTCTGTGAGTTCCGCTTGAAGCCCTGGATTCAGCCAGACTCTGCCAGACTAGGACTGAAAAGATAGGCACACTCCTTTCTCTTAAAGCAGCACAAATATTTGCCGCTTAAATAAATTTACTCTTGTCAAACAGGCATGATCACCCGCCAAATGCTTGTTCATTTTTCTAGGATTATTGCTTCAGTTTCAAAAAAGACTTAATTTTTCTTTTTTTTCTTTTTGTTTGTTTTCCCTTCAGGTACAATCCTCGGATTTGCCCTCCGACCATACAAAATGACCTATCGGGAAGTCAAGTACTTCTCCTTCCCTGGGGAGCTTCTGATGAGGATGTTACAGATGCTGGTGTTACCGCTTATCATCTCCAGTCTTGTCACAGGTACCTTAGGCAGTTTTGTTAAAAGTGTGCTTATTACAAAAGATCGCTTAGAAAAATAAATGCTTTAGGTTTCTGCTGGATGCATGCTCTGTTCTAGACCAAAAAAAAAAAAAAAAACCCCTTCAAAATGATGGAAAGGAGGCTTTAGTAATGCATGAATGATTATAACTCGTATTTACCAATCACAAGAGGAAATGGATTTAAACAACCACGTAATTTAGTCTGCCTCACTTCGAAAGAGGCGCCCTGCTAAACACTACACAACCAGCCTTCTCTGACCACAGCGATACAGTTGACAACAGCGTACAACAGGTCTGTTTTCTCACCCTCTTATCCCACCCAGATAACATCTGGTTGGACAGCCTATTAGCTATTGATGCAAGAATGCTTGTTCTCAGAGCCACCAGGACTTGAGCGGGAGCCTTCTTGGAAGCCTCATCAAGAGGTAATGCCCACAACACACTCACCAACTCTGATGCCACCAACACTTTATCTTTTCCTGGTGAACCCGCATGATTTCATTCCTTCTCCAGTTGTCCCCCACCCCCATTACCTTTCACAATGGTGGGAGAATGGGGAGGGGGTGGGAGATTTCCCCATCCAGATATTTTGTCAGTTGACACTTGGCTTTTCAACAAATGGAAGCTTTGCAGGATAGGATTCTATTTTCTATGCCAGCGAGATAACAATTTACTCCTGCGTGGGAAATGGTTAGAGTCATTTGTATGTGCGATTGGTGAATACAAACGGAGACAAGAAGTTGCATAAAACTGTTTCTGTACATTCCTTCCTGCCCACTCTTCTCTTTCCCCACAGCACATCTCTGACTTGGAGAAGCAATGTCCATAGACACTGCCCCAGCAGGATGGTTTCTGGGTTTATAGCTAAAGCCCAGAACTCAGGTATTACTGACCCTGTTCTCTTTTCCACCCTTGGCTCACTGTCTCCCCTTAGGCAATTCACTCCACCTATGTGAGCCGGCTCTGAACATCTTTTCCTCTTTTATTTTGTTCTCAAGGATATTTATAATCTCCTTTCAAGGCCTCTGTGTAATAAGAACTTCATCGTACAACTCAAAAGTCATGGGGCAAGATTCTAAGTCCTACATGCCTTAGGGCACTGGCTATTACTTGGACAGAAATTATGTCAGATTTTTCCTCAATGCTTGGCAGATCTCTGCTGGCGTCCACTTGTCCAGGTCTTTAAACAAGTGATTGCATGTACAGGAAGTGCCCCGTTGGAGGAAGAAAAGCCCATAAAACAATCATGCAGACAGGATGATTCGGGGCACTTGTTTTTGAAACTGGCCTGGCTCCTTGCTGACCAGGGATAATCATTTTAACCTCAATTCTTATCACAGAAGCTAGATCAATGCTGATGTGAGGGCTCAACCTCATTTTATTATCCATGTGCTATCATTTTTCTGGGAAACGAGTTCTTTGCAGTGAGCATGTAGAGGCCAGAACTCATATCTACCATTTTATTTAGTGGAGCAGGGAGTCCCTCTTCACCGTTCCTACTGGCTGGCGTCTGAATTGAGTACCTGCAGTTTTCCTGGATGCAGAGGGGTCCTGGATTTCTTTATACTATCTCTTCAAGTGTTTAGAGGTTTCTGCTTTCTGGTAATTATGTTAAAAACCCACCATGTTACCCTTTATAAGTGGAAAGCCCTTGTTAGGTACAATTTGAGAAAATATTACTAGTAACTTTAGTTGTAACCTTAGCTGACAGTTACCTTGAAGTGGAATTTCCTGGTATTTTCTAATACTTAATACATCAACTTTATTGAAGAAATAAGAGCTTTTATTGAGTAATTTTTCAGGGAAAGAAAAAAACTATGACACAGTCCTTTTTTGCATGGTTAAAAGGAAATTCATAGGTAAATCTTGGAGAAATCATCAACATTTATAATATCATTAAAGAGAAAAGAGTTATAAGCTGTAAGCAACCAATATAAATGGAACTTTTAAAATGTAACCTAATTGCAAGTGTGAATGCTGTTACTCGGGACCTTTAAGAGAGTGTCAGCTCTTTTTCAGGATTGTGTTAAGACAAGGGACATAATTATTTGTTTGCCAAAGATCTTTTTAAGGTGTTAATCTCAAACAAGTAATTCCCAAGCTACACAGCAATTTAAATACTTATAATTAATTGGAATGAATGATTGATTCAATAAGAATTTCCATCAGCATTTTATTACAATGATTCTAAACCAAAGTGGGGTAGGACCCAGTGAGAATGAGAAGTACAGGATATTCCTCCAAGTACACACACCCCTGTGTGTATTGGGAGATGTTACTGGAGAACATGTTGCCTAGGGAGGGAACTAAGTCAGGCTTCACTATTGTAGAATAGAAAAGCAAACTCAAATGCCTCCAGTAGCCAAGCAGGTGACCTATATATATGAAACTGCCATTTCAGGCTACTGTTTGTTTTCCTACTTTGATACAATCATGGGTACAGAGAAATACTTCTCTTCAACAGATAAAATACCATGGCCAAGTGTGAAGATAAGTGCAAAGTGACTCAGCTACAGAAGAGTGTAGACAAATGGAGGCAAGGAGGCTATTGTGACCTGAAAAGTATCAGCTCCAGCCAATTGTTTCCATGTGTCACCAAGGCCCAAATCTTCTAATTTTTCAAGAGAATTCATAAAAATCTAAAAAGTTTTAAGAGCCTCGAGATTTTTATATGTTTGTTCAGTTAACAGAACATAACAGTGCAAGCCAAACAAAGCACATTTGCAGGCCCAATGCAACCCTTGGGCTACCAATATTGGAACTCAAGTTTGAGCGTCAGTGCTATAAATGATAAGAAATGCACTGATCAACTTGTGTACCCATCGGACTAGCACTAGGTTTCATGTGTTACCTTATTCCACTGTTGACAGTTCCATGCCAAAGCTTATTCAACATGGAATCAGCTCCTAAATATCATGTTTGTTACACACTAAACAAATAGCTATTAGAAAACCCTCCTCTCCATTTTCTGGGTATCACCACATTGTGTCATAGCTGTGCTGGTCTTTTCTGCACCCAACAGGAGCACCAGAATAAGAACTTAGAGGCCACGCTCCCATAGAAAGTATTTCCCAGTGGGAAAATGCTGACAGACTTAGTGCTCTAAAGTTCAAAAGTCCCAGGGTCTGTGCAGACAGAAATTGAAATGCATAAAACCCTTATTGCTTTTCTTGGATTAGGCATTTTCTTTTAAAAGATCCTATAAATTTAATTGTCCTAAAGTCACATTGAAATCTAAGTTGGTCGTACTTGAAACAGCAGTGTTTCTGAGTTGCACCTAAAAAGCCGCTGCAAACCTTGTTCTCTTTTTCCTTAACTTTAAATTCCAATCTTTATAAACATCCTTGGTGTGTCTTAGTATTCTAGATGTTGCCAACGAGATGCTGAGAGAAAGCCTAATGGCTAGATTTGTACTCAAGTATTGTTTTTTTTTTTTGAACAAGAAGAATATGTCTGTGCCAACACACCAGAAAATAAAATAAGGGTTTGGCACCAATTTCTGTTGATTTGGTCAGGACAGACAGCCAAACTAGATATTTCTTACCAAAAAATATAAGTTGGTTTGGCTGGTTTAGCCTGATTAAATTTACTAGATAATAATTAAACTCCATTTCAGGTTGTGCTATGTAGACATAATTATCATTTCCTTTCTACTTCTGAATCTTTTCAAAAACTAGTGCTTTCTTCTTTTCTCATCTAAGTATTCACTCCTTATTTTCTCATTCTAAGTATTCACTCCTCCTCAAAAACTAGTGCTTTCTTCTTTTCTCATTCTAAGTAATCACTTACCTAAAAAGAAATCTTTCCTGTCTCCGATTTTCTGGAAGGGAGGATGCAGGGGAATCACTTTTGACAAACAATCACTGTGGGGTTGGGCAAATTATAAGTAAAAGGTTGGTGAGGGAGTATCTACTGCAACAGTAAAAGTACCAGCAATGTCTGGGACCTATGGTAGGGCATACTGGAGGAAGGATTAAAAAATACACGATATTTATCTTTTAACATTCATTCATTTATTCATATTTTAACAGCTATTTTTTGAGCTCTTGCTATCTCAGATACTGAGCTAGGCCCAGAGGATACATGAATGAATACAAATATAATCCCCAAGAAGACGTATGTTGGGCTCAGAGGGGGAGTCTTCTTTCCATTTTTTAAATCATACAATATATGTAAGCAAATTCCAATTTCAACTATAAGGAAGCAAGTATGGTCCTGTGTACTCCCAGCAAGAAAGAGACGATTTGATTGATTTTAAGAACATGATCCCAAATTTGATTTGTTCGAGCCACAGCATCACCATCATTTACTGCAAATGTTCTTTAAATCAACATACTTTCCTTCCAATACCTCAAATCAAATAGATACTTATCTTGTGAAGGAGATAATAAATCACAACGTAATAAAAGTCTAGATTAATACTATTGCCTGCCACATTCATTTAAAAAGAGGGAGGGATGTAAATGTTAAAGAGATGTTAAGTACACATGAGCACCGAGCACCTAAGTAAGACTTTGTCTTACCTGTAATCACTACATGATTTAAAATTAAGGAGAGGTTTCTGTACCAAAAGAATAAATAAATACTACTGTATTTACTCTGATTTGGGAAACACTGATCTAGTCCAATCATCCCTTTAATATCCCTTTCAAATCATTGTCCAGCTTCTGCCTAAACATCTCTAAGGACAGATCTTTAGAACCCATTTGTTCTTGGAAAACTTTAACAGTTCCTTTTTTGCATCTAGAATGAAGCATGCACGCACGCGCACACACACACACACACACACACACACACACACACACACATCAAACAAACAAAATACCTGCCTGCCTGTAATCCCTCCTTCATAAGACAAGCTCCATGATATGTGTCATATATTCCTTAGGCAGCTTCCTCCCAAATTTATAGACCAATGAATTCAATGGAATGTGGGACTTAATTATAGGTCAAGCCACCAAGCTTCAATCACCAGCAAGG